CCTACTCTTGTATAAGCCGCTGTTTTGTGTCATTGTTTATCTGCATAACAAAAGATGACTTCAACGTGTCAGTCGTAAATAATACTGTCAATTGAAATACAAATTATAGAACGGAAAATAAATTCAATTATCGACATGAAACGTATTTATAAGATGATTTCGAAACCTCAGAGTACTCGTGTAAAAGGCGTAGCTAACGCTTTAATATACTTTTTCATTCTCGATAAATATACCGGGTGTTTTAAATTCGACTCTCTCCATTGAGGTCTCGGGAACGGAAAGACTTACGAAGTTTGTTAAATGGGGCAAAGTTGCGTATTTAGGTATCTAAGAAAATGGCACAATTTCGAGTACTTCCGGAGATAAACGAAAGAAACCGAATTTCTATAAAATCGTTATTTTTTCAGGCTTTATTTAAGATGGATTTCAAAATGAAAAAGACAGTTAACAGTGCCACTTTTTCTCGTCTACAAGATGGCATAATTAGGAATTCAATATGACGTTTCATCCTCGATCAGCAGCTTTACTTTTTTCTTATAGACGCCATATTGGATTTCTGCACAGTTGAATAAGATATTAAATTCTAAATCCGAAAATGTAAAGCGTGACAAATATTGTCAAGTACACCCATATTCCGATGTATGTGCATGTGTATCTTTATAATAATAATAATAAAAATAATAATAATATTTATTCACTCAATGTACAAAGATAACAAACAATATGAGTAAATAAATATAAAATCAAAACAGGCCCAATAGAAGGCATCGCCTGTACATGGACCAATAATTTAAGTTGAAACTGTAGAATGCAAATGACAAAAAAGGACAAAAATTAGCTACAGTAGATTATGTATTTAGTTGATGTTCGTATTTATGAGTTTATGAATTTCAGTCCTAGATATAGAATGTAGCCACTTTTTTAAATTTCTTTTGAAACAATTTCCCAAAAGTTAAAACGTAAATCTTTTAAGTCTTTAGGTATAATTTCATAAAATTTAGGCGCTAAATAGAGATATGATCGCTGCATTATATGTATAGATTTATGCGGTTGAGGAACTACTGTGCCACGAATTTCGTACCTGGTATAATGATTATGTTTAATTTTTTGGTCGGTGTTTACAAATTTATGGTAGTGAGTGATACTGTGTAAGAAATAAAGCTGTCTTATATCATACATTCGAACATCTGCGTATAATTTTTCAGTGGGATAAAGTTTCGGTTTTTTAAATATCATTTTTAGAATACTTTTTTGAAAAACATCTAAATTATAGATATGTGAGGAACATGCAGCTCCCCATGCTAATATACCATATGTGAGATGAGGCTCAATCAATGCATGGTATAATGTTCGAAGATATTTTTCTATCAATATATTCCCAAGGTATTTAATTTTGTAGGATACAAATCTAACTTTCTTTAAAATATAATTGACATGGATGTCCCATCGTAAGTGAGGATCCAAGACCACTCCAAGGTATTTTATGTTGGGCACTCTATTAATTTGCATTTTTTGATCATTAATATTGAAGGAGAAATTTGGGTAATTTGGCAGATGTCTAGCATAAGATCCAAATGGTAAAAAATGTGTTTTAGAGTAGTTAATGCTTAATTGTCTACTGTTAAACCACCGAATAATTTTGATAAAATCATTTTCAATTACATTTTTCAGATTAGACCAGTCAGTGCCTTCATATAATATTGCAGTATCATCTGCAAAACTAGTTATTTTGCCAACACAATTAATTTGGAAAATATCATTTAAATATATATTGAATAACAGCGGACCTAAGACAGTTCCTTGTGGGACACCACACTTAATATACATTTCTTTACTAAATGATCCTGATATCTGCACAGATTGTGGGCGATTTGACAAATAACTTTCGATCAGTGAGTACGCGTTTCCTCTGAAACCAATTCTCTCCAATGCTTCTAATAATAATTTGTGATTAACTGTGTCGAAAGCTTTCTTTAAATCAACAAAAATGCAGATTGAAGGGATTCTGTTATCAATATTTTGATGTATTTGATTTACAATTTTAGTTATTGCGTCCGATGTAGCCTTCCCTTCTGTAAATCCATACCTTTGTAGTTGCATATGTGTATTCATTCCGAACCTGATGAAGCCAACAAGCAGAAATATGTATCGCTCGGGTTACCTATCCTATTTTCTGCTCGAATCCACTTTCCTTCTTTTTGAGGGTTTTGCCCATTATTTTTATATTTGTCATATATATAGTTAAGTGGAAGACTCGTCTTTGGGGAAATCGACTAATTATGCAAAGTCAACTCAAGCTTTCGGCAATGTATGCTGTCATCATCAGGAGTGCGTCATCATCAGGAGTGCGTCAGCAAGATTGGTGCTAAAATTTGATTTTATAAAGTGTGGATCAACACACATGGCTGGATGATCAAAAACTTGATTCATCAGGATCTTTTTGGAAAATCGATGAAAAAACATAGCTAAGTTTTACTAAAAACCACAAACGGATTTGGAAAAACGTTATTGATTAATTGATTTCTAAAACTTTTCTATGTCAACATATTGGAATAACCTCAAATTGCTCAGGTGGTATTGACACATCACTTCTAACCTTTCGACAACAGGTACTGAACAATATTTTATCTTCTGTTAAACAATGATGAACTATCTTGACCTAGACTTGAACCTAACACAAATACGCTTCTGAAAAAGGAACCAAGGATGTTTGAATATTGATAAAATAGACTTGAAGGTCTCTGGACGATTCAAATGGCGCAAAATATGCAAAGAAATTGTATTCAATAAATTCCGATCAATTGGCTTTTTTAATAATGATTTGTCGCCATCGCTAACATTGATCGAAACAAAAGATGTCTCATAGCATCTCCGCATGGAAGTATTGGGTCAAAACTGTTGAATTATAGTGATTGCACTTGTTTATCGTATGCTACGCACGGTTTTGTTTGATGTTATTGAAAGTGTGAATTGACTATTAAGGAATGAAGATCAAGTTCGATTTGCTAATAACGTTTAACGTGATTAGAATGGAATTTGACCTAAGTAGGTGAAACTATTCACGCGGGAACTGATACAGTAACCGAATTTTCTCACTAATAACCTTTCCTCTACCCATTTTGAAAACTTTAACTACCCAAAACTATTTTAAACGTATTCTGATTAATAAAAACAATTATCATGGCTTTTATTTTTCACAGCCACCTATGCGTTATAGACTTACTTTGCATTGAAATGAAAATAGGTTGATGGAGGAGGTGTTATTTTGCAAATTTGATTAGGGAGTGATAAAATTGGTGTTTTCTACTATATATTATCAAAATATTCATTGTTAATATTTTAAACCTATAACACCCTCTACATTTTTATTATTTGTGTTTGATAAGAAAAAAACTAAGATTTCAATAGTTGGGCCAACTGAAGTGGGAAGGGGCTCGTACTCTGTATAAAGCAGCCTAACATGTCATATTTTTCAGAATGTTGATGATTCTCATTTTTCGCATCATAAAAAATATAATAATACACAGAAAACATAAATTTTGCAACTGACAGGTTTTGATAAGAGCTTAGCAATTAATCATTCCATCGTTCTGCTAATCAGGGCCTACTAACACTTATACAATACTTAACAAGAGCGTCGTATAGGGACACATTTTGTAAAATTATGAATTTTAGATTTATTATCTAAAATACGTATCATGTGTAATATTCTTGTAAAGTTTATAAAAGTTTCAATCAAATGATAAAAAATATACAGGGTGTCCCATTGAAAAAATCTAAGTTTGATTTATAGCAAAAAACTGACATCTCAGGAAAAATCTGACTAGCCACCAGATTCTAGGTGAAAAATTGTATAAGAGCCAGTTTTTAGATAACGGATAACGGAGATACGAGGGGGTCCCAAAATGCAAAATTTTCAATGTCGCCCTGTATCTCAAAAACGAAACGGGGTATGAACATTTCATTTATACCATCTTTTTATACAAAAAAAGTAGCTAAGTACTGCGAAAACATCAGCTCTCTATCTTTACTAGTATGTGCGATACCCGTAATATCATCGAAAATATCACATATCACTTAACATCCAAAAAACATTTTCGAAATTTTATCGATTACAATACTTCCTCGCCCAGTCGCGTAGGAAGTTAAAACGTTTTCAAGTAGGTAAACGCGGCACCTTTAAACGAGTGCCATGCAGGAGGATTAAAAAATGGAAGCAATATTAGTAAAGTAGGGCGATTTTCAAATTTATCGTGTTTTTGCACCTAGCTTCACCATCACTACGCCCATTTCCAAAAACTTTTTCATACTTGACATATTAGTAACATTGTGTAACAATTTCATCAAAATCTTCCAAAAAACATAGTTTTTCGAAATTATCTATTACAAAGATTCCTCGCCAGTTTTGGCATAGGAGGTACAACATACAAAAAGTTGTCATTGATATGAACACTTCTCCATATGCTTTAATTTCATCGGCAGTACCTCAAGGGTCGGTTCTTGGACCACTTATTTTTATTTTATATATCTCCGATCTTGATAAGGTTGTTAAACACTGCAATATTCAGTTTTTTGCGGATTGCAGTTATACAATAATTTTAATGCTGACAATATAAATTGCTGAAGCAAATTAATGAATACTTGAGATCTATCGACAAGTATGCAAAAATTCATAATCTTAGATTAACTCCAAAAAAATCGAAAGTAATTATATTCTCTTCTAAAAAATTTAGAAATCAAATTAAGAAATATTCGACTATATCATTAAATCGTGAAATTATAAAAGTATGTGAAACTGTAAAAAATCTAGGCATATCTCTTGATGGATGTCTGAATTTTATTCCTCATGTGAACAATGTTACAAAACGTTAGTTTTTAGTAGTAGTACTGACTCGCCAGTAGGAAGGAAAGAAAGAAGATACGCTCCTGTGGATGTATTTCGAAGCGCATTTGAAAAAAACTAATAGTGATAACATTATCTAGCTTATTAGTCCGCGAGTCTCTTAGTAACGGAACTGTTGTTCGTTTTAAACTTGATTGTGGGAAAAAAAGGCTTATATAATGCTTCTAAGGTACTGTAACCAAGACTTTTCAAGCAATTAGACCCAGTTTGTTAACCTGCAAAGAGCATTCTCCAGAAGAATTCAAATCCTCTTCTAGGTGAAATTCTCCTATAAAGTTAGATATTCTGTTAATTCATATTTTAGTTTCTGCACTACAACATCCAACACAATTTTGAGCCCGAATAACGACAGAATTTTTTTGTTTCAGTCTCAAACGTCAGTGGACAGTGCAATGTCATCGTGTTCTTCAACACCTAGCACACCGACAAGCCCGATTGACTATGAGGTTAAGGTAGCAACAGAAAGTGATAGGGAAGCAGTACTAGAGTTCCTCAGGAAATTCTTTTTCAAGGATGAACCACTCAATTCTTACAGGTAAAGACATTCGTTTTACACTTGGAAAATTATTTAGGACCATATCATCAATTATTGTAGGACGCCTTTATGGCCTCCTTGATTTTCATAATTTTCCCTGTCCTTCAGAGAGGCAGAAGTATTTCTACATTTTTACTGTTCCGTGTCAGCGTCAGCGCTCGCCTACTGTGAGGTTATGCTTCTTTTTGCAACCGCCTATTTCCGGCACGGATATCACGTGTCTTGAAAAGTGTCATTATGCCGATTTTTTTTGACATTGTGCTGTTTTTTTTTTGACATTATGTAGGTTTTTCTACAAGATGTTAACTTAGCACTTAGTTGTACGTGTTGCCTACACGTCATGAGGCCTTTGGCTCTGACTTTATGTAAAATCTTACACAGCAAATATCACTGATCTTTTACACATGCAGACCAATACACATAATCATCCAGATGCGATCTTGCTATTCAACCAACTTTCTTCTCAGAGATAAAAACCTCACAAAACTATGCAACCAATAATGCATGTAGTTTAGTTGAGTGATTCCTTCATAGATGGACGTTCACGACGATCCTAGTGAGCAAACGTGGAATGACTGTTTGCGCCCTAAAAACTAACTAGTCTGCAAGTTGACATCTTATAAGTGTTTTTTGACGATTTGTAGGTTTTTTACATGATACCCTTCCGTTTATGATCTTCGAGCAAGATTTACATGTAATCGATGATTTAAGTTAGATTAAGTATTTTGAAAAATTAAACGACAGCAGTGATCCTTCTTTACAGTAAGCTGATAACAGAAGAGAAACCAATCTGCCCAGATGTAGAAAAATTCGCCATGAAAGACTTCAACAACGGCCTGAACCTTTTGGCCATCTTCAACAACAACATCATCGGAGTGTCTCTGAACAGTATTCTAGAACGGGATGCCAAGGACGAGGAGCCCTTTGTCAGCGAGGACAAGACCTTCGACAAAATAGTGAAATTACTGGACTACGTAGCTGAACATTCCGACCCGTTCCAGAAGTTCCCGGACTGCGACAAGGCTATGACTGTCAAGATACTGTCGGTGGACGGCGCCTATAGGGGCAAAGGCATCGCTAAAGAACTGGTCGCTAAAACAAGGTAAGCTTTGTGTGTGTGATCAGTTCTTGGAGAACGTTAACTTTGTCTGTCAAACTGTTTAACATAAGTATGTATGTTGGGACAAATCTTGGATGGTAAGACAATACGATCTGAATTAACTTCCGCCATTTTGAATCCAATATGGTGGATGCTACAAAATGGCAATCTATCATTTCCATAGTGACTCCTATGATATGGGTATCAAATAAAAAGGATTTTAAGAAGAAACACTATAAGTAAAGTGACGTCATTCTAAATCCAATATGGCGGATGTCGCAAAATGGCGATTTACATATTTCATAATGAACAGTACGACATGGGTATCACATGAAAGAGCTTGATGAGGTCAACACAATAAGCATAGTGATGTCATTCTAAATCCAATATGGCGGCCGCCGTCCAATGGAGATTCACATTGTTCACAGTCGCCCCTAAATTCGTTCTAAAACTACTTATTTGGCATCATAAATACTGAAAGAAAAAAAATAAAAGAAAAATACGCTTTTAAAAACAAGATTTTATTTAGCTGTTCATAAAATAAACTTAAAATTAATAAATATTTTTTTTCGATTGGAAATATTTAAACGATAATGAATAATTTATCTCAAGTTTTCAAATAAAAGCGTCTTAGGTTTTGACAGCAGGATGGAAGAAAAATACAAATTCGCTTTTATTTTTAGACTTGAGATATACACGCTTCATTATCGTTTGAATATTTCCAATTGGAAAAAGATATTTTTAAATGGTCAGTTTATTTTATGAAAAGCTAAGCAAAAGCTTGTTTTTGAAAATGTCTTTTTTTATTTCATTAATTACTATACTCTGAGGTGGCCGGATAGTAAGAAAATCAATATCAGGATTTTTTAGAAGTTCACCCGCATAAACTTCTTTCGTTACGCCCAATAATAATCAACAGTTTGGAACACATAAAAAAATTAAGCTTATTTTCTTCTATTTTTTTGTTTTTTCACCTGTCTCTCCGCAATTGATGGTGAAGATATACGAAAACTTATACTAAGTGACATATAAATCCGAACACCCAGTTTAAATGGTTTTATTTTAATAAAAGTTGGTGAATGTATTTATCTTACTGTAAATAACAAGTGAAAAAATTTTCAGCCTTATCAGTTGGACATTCCGGTTTTTATACTGCTTTTTTTTAATTCACTAACGCTCTAAAAATGAATATTTCAGCCGCAGTAAAGAATCAACGTTGGCGGATTTTGGTTCTTGACATCCTTTACGATCGGTTACGATGCCTAGAGTACGGAGACCTGTACGATTTCGTCAACTTAGTGAGTTTGATAGGGGCCGGACAGTGGGACTTCGGGAAGCTGGACTTTCTTTTCGGGCAATTGCAGGTAGAGTGCAAAGAAGTGTAGACACTGTGGTTAGGTGTTGTCAGGCATGGCTTCGAGAATGCCGTACGCAAAGAGCAAGGGGCACTGGACGCCGCCGTAGAACAACAGACCATGAAGATCGCCGCCTAAGGTTATTGGCCTTAAGGGACCGTTTCTCCACTGCCAGGTCCATTGCAAATGAATGGTTTGCAGAACACGGAAGACCTATTGGCATGCGAATGAGAAGTTTTGGCTTGTTTTCATACCGGCCACACTGGGTCCTCCCTTTAACTCGAGAACACCGACGTAATCGCCTTGAGTGGTGCAGACAACGGTCACTCTGGGATCAGGAATGGAACAGTATTGACTTTAGTGACGAGTCTTGATTTTGTTTAGGCATGCACGATGGCCGTGCCAGGGTTAGAAGGCGACGTGGTGAAAGGAGGAATCCACAGTTCCAAGTTCTAGAACCCCATCTTTTACCCTATCTTGACACCCTGGCAGATCCAACTTTCCAACAAGATAATACCCGACCACATGTTGCAAGAGTCACAATAGACTTCTTTCAACATAATGATGTCACATTGTTATCATGGCCACCAAGATCTCCCGACTTATCCTCAATTGAGCACGTGTAGGATATGATGGGTAGGAGATTGCTCAATTTGCAACGTCCTCCTCAGACTCTAGAAGCACTTCGAGAGGAGTTGGTGTTTGCCTGGAATGAGATACCACAGGAGGACATTGACCACCTGATCAGAAGCATGCCTAGGCCCGTTGGAGAATGCGTAGCACATCAGGGTGCATCCACACATTATTAAAGGTCAAAGGGCTTTGAAGCAGTGCAAACATTTTGAAATTTTTATCATTTACTTATTATGCTTCATTAAGTACTTATACAAAATTTTATTAAAATAAAACCATTTAAACTGGGTGTTCGGATTTATATGTCACTTAGCATATTTTATCATTGACGTAGTAGTAGTAGTAGCTTTGTGTCGAAAGCCCATTAAGCATGTTACGTTTTGACAACAGGATGGAAAAAAGATGTAAATTCGCTTTTATTTTATGACTCAAGATGAAGGTGCTTCAATATAGTTTAAATATTTCCAATAAAACAAATATATTGAACTATTTAGTTTAATTCATGAATAGCTAAGCTAAGCTTTTAAAAAATGTATTTTTTATTTTATTTATTACTATGCTCTGAGATGAGCAGAAAGTAAAAAAATCAATATAAGGATTTATTAGAGATTGACCTCCATAAACTTCTTTCGTTACGCCCGAAAATAATCAGCAATTTGAAAACATAGAAAAAGTTCGTTTATTTTCTTCTATTTTTTTTACTTATTTCCCCGCAATTGTTGGTGAAGGCATATGAAAAGCTCATTATTGACATAGTAGTAGCTTTGTGTCAAAATCCCATCAAGCATGTTACGCATGATGGAAAAATGGTGTAAATTTGCTTTTATTTAAAGACTTGAGATGAAGGTGCTTCAATAGCGTTTGAATATTTCCAATCGGAAAATATATTTTGTAAATTTTTGGTTCATTTTATGAACAGCTAAACAAAATGTATTTTTTTATTTTATTCATTACTGTACTAGAAAGTAAAAAAATAATAATATCAGGACTTTTTAGAGGTTGACCTCCATAAACTTCTTTCGTTAACCCAAAAATATCAGTAATTTGAAAAACGTAGAAAGACTAGATATGCTTATTTTCCTCTATTTTTTTTTGTTTTTTATCTACAGGGTCCGGCACAAAGGTCGGACGGTTTTCAAAAAATCACAAGATCGGTAATTTTTATTCAAAAACAAATTTATTGACAGATTCAGATTCACAATAAAATAGTGTTTGTTACAATTAAGTGTGGAAAATCACGTCAGTCATATGGTCGCCGTTTTTGACGATGCATTGCTTCTGCATTGAAAGTTTGCGTAGACTCTCTCCAATATCATTCTCTCAACTTGAAGGACTTCCACGCGAATTGCCTCCTTCACCTCGTCCAAAGTTCGGGGCTTGTGCTTGTAACACGAACCTTGAGGTGTCCCCTTAGGAAAAAATCGCAGGTGGATAAATCTGGGCATCGAGGAGGCCAAAGAACATCACCAAACCTGGAAATAAGGGGACCACGGAATAGAGGGCGATTAGCGTTCATCGTTGCTCTGGCTGTGTGGGCGGTCGCCCCATCCTGTTGGAACCACACACGTCGCAATGGAACACGTCGTCGTCGTCGTAATTCAGATGAAGATAAGTTGGTGATTATTTCGACATAGCGCTTCCAGTTCACGGTAACAGCATTGTCACTACCATCTTCGAAGAAGTAAGGGCCAAACCGTCACTGTTGGGGTTTTTTTTTTTTGGTGAGGGGGGAATGCGTTTATGCACCATACCATAGCCCGAGCTACGGCGTGTGTGGGACTCCAGGTTGCTCCAGGTTGTCTTGAGGAGACCACCTAATACCCACTAAACCCTAACCTCCGCGTGGCCCGACTCATCAGCGTCTCGGTAGGCCATGTGTTCTGCGTGACCTGCGGTCTGCTACAACGTCTCCTCATGTGTTTCAGTCTCTGGGAACGCCGTCTCTTGAAACTCTTGTTTTCGAAAAATCAAGAGTTTCAAGTCCTCTTACCTATATATTGTTCCTGGTCCTGAAGGGTCCTGGTCCTGGTGGGTCCTCGTCCTGGTGGGTCCTGGTCCCGGCGGGTCCTGGTCCCGGTGGGTCCTGGTCCCGGTGATTCCTGGTCCTCTGCATCCACGCCGTGGGGGGGGGGGAGCAACCGCGGGTTCTCCTAGTCTCCTAGTCAAGGTTCCAGTTAGCGGGTGCCAACTGGGACCTTGGTCTAGGGTACCTGGTTCTGCGGTTACGAGGCCTCTCGTCCGGATCGTAGTCCATGAGGAATCGTAGCTGCTCGTTCGGGTGGTCCTGAGCTTTCTGGAAGGTCTTCTCCGCTTTTTTCCTCATGTACTCGTGAATGGTGTCCCAATGCAGGTCTCTACGCAAGGTTAAGTTTCTTACGTAGGATGGTGCACTGGTGGCGATCCCGAGTAGCTTCATCTCTAGAGCAGCAAGTCTCTTGCGGTAGCTGGGGGCAGCGTACCCCCAGACCGCGGAGGCGTAAGCGAGCTGAGGTCTGGCGATGGCCTTGATCAGCCGTAGCTTGGTCGCTAATGTTGGGGTGTGCAGCGGTCTTTCATATAACTGTCGCGGATTTTCATTAGCCCAATAACGGCAATTCTGCTGGTTAGCCATGCCATTAAGATGACAGTGAGCGTCAAATCCACTCGGTTCACAAACATTAGCCAGAGTGATTTTACTGCCCCGTAGATATGTATACTGTGCTAAAACCATATTGCCTCCCTGTTGGACACAACACGATGAAAGCATCATTAATATTTCACAGGAAATGCCTACAGCGTAATCACTCTCAGTCTCCGAGAGGTCAGGGTTGACCTTTCATTTCCTACTCGACAAAGCTTTCATAAAGAAAATTCATTTTCCTCGTGCCTGACGCACACTTTATTTTCTCTCTTCTCATCGTTCGTCTTTTAATTTTGAGATGGTGTTTGCTCATAGCGCTGCTACGCTTAGCAACGCCACCATAATAGGTTATTAACTTCAAAGAAATGAGTTTTGATGTATTTTTATTGCTAATCATAGGTCACTGCCTAAGTAACAGCATAAAAACATTTTAGGTTGATTTTTGCTGCTATGAGGATCTCAAAGTAAGATTACTAGGAGGACATTAAACGGAGAGAGATTTCTGGAGCTTTTGCGGACTGAACTGCCCTTGCTGTTAGAACAAGTGCCGCTGCAAACCCGTCGAAGAATGATGCTTCAAATGGATGGATGTCCTGCCCATTACTCGCTGATTGTCAGGTCTTTTCTTAATGAAAATTATCCAGGCCGCTGGATCGGTCGACAAGGACCTGTTGGGTGGCCGGCGCGTTCCCCAGATCTCACACCTCTCGACTATTTTTATGGTTGACAATGAAACAAAGGATGTACAGCAGTTCCATAAACAGCGAAGCGGAACTTGAAGAAAGAGTTTTGCGTGTTGCAAACGAAATCAAAAATCAAAATCAAATTTCACTTCGCGCTACAATGTGTTTGCAGCAACAGGGTGGCCATTTTGAACATTTGATGCATTAAGCCAAAATGATTATCCTATAGACAAGTCTATTTGATTTTATTTGTTAAATATAATGTTTTATTCCTACTCTGGCGTTGAACTGAGTTGACTGCTTTTTGAAACGCTGGTTTAAAAACTTGTATCTAAGTAATAAACTTGCAATTTTTCACCATTAGGAAGCTAATAACATGTAGAATAACTTAACATTTAAAAAAGGTAGGGTAAATAGGACAATTTTTATTGAAATTTAGCAATTTTTTAAAAATCATTGAAAAAATAGTGAGTTTCAGCATATTCCTCTTTATTTTAAATACCTGTTTTCAATACCTGTTAAAGTGTTTTCAAACTGTGTATCTTTCAAAATATTTCAAATCTGTGGCCCAACAAAAATACCTTCTTTAACCTTTGCCTCACTTAGTCTTGGAAATTTCTGACGCAGGTATTGAAAAGCTGCCCCATCTCAATGCCTTGACAAAGTTTTTCATTAGGCCCAACTTGATATGCAGTGGTGGTAATAAAATTTTTTTCGAATCTACTAATGGCATATGCTGTACATTTTTTTGACCTGTCTCTAGGAATTGACGAACAGGCCAGTTTTGTCTGGTGTAATGAAGTGCCTTTGCCCGACTGTCCCATTCACACAAAAAACAGCAAAACTTTGTGTAGCCTAGCTGCAGCCCAAGTAAAAGTGCAACAACTTTCAAATCGCCACAAATGCTGCTCATCGTATTTTATGCATGTCAATAGGTACTTCATATTGTCATATGATTCTTTCATGTGAACTGCATACCCTACAGGAAGAGATGGTAAAATATTTCCAATATGCAATAACACTGCCTTTAAACTCAATGTTGAACTGTCTATAAACAATCTCCATTCTTCTGGGTTATAGTTTATATTTAAAGCCGCCAGTAAGCCGTTAATGTTACTGCAGAAAACCCAGTTATTCTCCATATTGAAAAATGGTTCTAAGTGTTTGTGGCGTTTACGAAAAACACATACCGAAACATCGTCTTCTAACAAGTTCCGCTGCTGCAGTCTTGATCCAAGTAACTCTGCCTTACATTTTGGAAGTTCTAAATCTCTTACAAGATCATTTAATTCTGACTGTGTTATTTTGTGCGCTTGGTGGCATGACGTACTGGGTATAAAATCAGGATCTCTTGACGTTGATGGCATATCTTCTTCCTGACGAATCACTCGATCGTCATGATCTGATTCGTTTTCTGATTCGCAAGTGTAGGATTCTGGGGGTTTTGGAATAGGATTTTCGTCACTGTGAGGCACAGGTCTCATCGCAGATGGTATATTTGAGTAGTTAATAACCGATTTTTTTTTGGACATACCTGTGGCTTGTCCAACACAAGGTACCATGCAAAAGTAACAATCATTAATATGATTTGTAGGCTCTCTCCAAACCATTGGGACAGCAAAGCGCATAGACCGTTTTTTGCCATTTAACCAGCTCCTCAGACTTGAAGCACGTGTATTACAGCAGATGTGGGGTGCCCACTGTTTGTCTTGATCACCTAGTTTACAACCGAAATAAAGCTGATATGCCTTTGTTATTAGTGGAGTAATAGACCGTCTCTGAGACGCAAAAGTCACATCACCACACACGTAACAAAACTGATCTGGATTGTTAACACACTTTCGAGACATCTTGCATGAACGCTGTCAGCCAACTGAGGAAAAAATGGCTAATATAAAACAATATAATGTAAACGTATGTATAACGTAACCCAATCATGCCGATTACATCATCTTTCCTTGCCGAATATAAAAATGTAGCACGTGCATTCTTGTGAATTACAGTATATTAACACTGTCACAGCAGGAACACATATAATTACCGTATCTCTAAAACTTGAACTAATATTGAAAAAATAAGTTTCATTCCGGTTTTAGCACATTACAAATAGTAATATTTTGTTGATTTTATTTAGGATATTTTTTGGCTGTTGATCAGTGTAATTAAATTTTTTAATTCTGGGAAATCAAACTCAGAAATTGCAACTTTATTAGACTTATCGCTGTACAGTGTGAGAAATATTGTTAGAAGATATAACGTAACTCGTTCAGTTAATATTAAGCCACGATATGTGAAAAAAGTAATATCACAAATGCCGACCGAAGAGCATTAAGAAGAATAATCGTGAAAAACAGGCGCGCCAATTATTTTCAATTAAGTGCTCTGTGAAGTGACGCTGTTGGAAGGAGAATTTCGAGGTCCACAACTCATAGAGAGGCACACAAACTAGCATTTAGCACTTGCAAGGTAAGTTTTCTTATAAAAAAAAGTGAAGTAAAAACCCTAAAGTTGCACAACTTGTTTATAGGCCAAAGAAAAGCCACTATTAACTCCACTGCAAAAGAAAAATAGACTTAGATGGGCTAAAGAACATAGACAATGAACACCTCAACAATGGTGTGCAATACAATGGAGTGATGAGGCCCGATTCGAAGTTTGTGTTGGTGACAGTCGCAGTAGAGTTATTCGCAAAAAAAATGAAGCATTCCATGTTGAATGTCTGAAGAGAAAAGTGAAATTTCCAGCATCCATTATGATCTGGGGTAGTATGTCATCAAAAGGAGTAGGAAAATTTCATTTTATCGATGGAAATGTGGATACAAACGAATATTTGGTAATTTTAGAAGAATCGCTTTCACCAGTGATGGAAGAATGTTTGACATCCGGCCAAGATTTTGTGTTTCAGCAAGATTGTGCAGCGTGCCATACCTCAAAAAAGGCTATAAAATGGATGGAAGAAAATAATGTACCACTTTTGAAATGGGTTCCTAGCAGTCCAGATCTGTCACCTATTGAAACTTTGTGGCACGAGATGAAAAAGGTTCTACGACAACATCCTGCTCGTACAATCACCGAACTGAGACAAAAGCTTCAAGATATATGGGTATAGGTCTAAGTGATTTCAAATATGTATTTTTTACGACTAGAATGTATCTAAGATGTTTTTGAGAAAATAAATTGGTTTAGAAGGAAATAGTTTCGTCATGTTTAGTTTATAAAGGCATATTTTGGTACAAATCTTGATGTGGGCCAACTGAAGTGGGAAGGGGCTCGTACAATATTATATGACATGGAGATGATCCAGGAAGTGACCATGGGAACCCATCGAATAGAGCCTCGCTTGATTCCTAACAAGTACTCTAGTCTTATGGTCTGGAAATTAAGTCAACTATTGTGTTTAAAATACTCATCCATAGTAACTATATCAAATTTCACCTGATCAATTGGACAAGAATACTTAATAGATATCAATCAGTATGGCTCTCGTATCTACAAGAATTTATTATATTTTTTGTTTCTTTTATAGATCGTATGCATTTGATGTTGAAATATGCATACATATACCTGTGTAAATAATTATTTTTGCTTACGTCAACAGAACATTAACAAAGACCTCATAAGATTTATTTTCTTTTTTCCACACACTCTTATTTATGTATAAACTCACTATTTCTCAATGCTTTTTTGAAAATCTATTCTCACTTATATTCACGCTTTGGGCCGCCATCATCTCTGTTAAATAAGCAATAAAATACGTTCTTAAGTCTACTTGATCTTACTATTGTGTCAGTAAATAGTATACAGTAAACCTATTTCTTTAAGTTTCTTCAAAACTGCTTTCTGAAATTCAGTTAGCATGCTATATTAAAACTGAACGCTCTTAGCTTATTCTCCATTTATGTCCGTCACAGTCAGTAGTGTGAGTTGTGTTTTCCCAAGTTGATCTTAATATAAAACAGTCTGTCTGAAGATAAAACTGCAATGTCGACAGTTTGTATTGAGATGTATTTTCAGAAGGTCGTCCCCCATCATCCAATTCATGCGTGTTCAAGAGCGAGTAGCAGCTGCGTTAGGGTACGGTTGTTATACAGGGTGACTTCGAAGTTATTATTATTATTATTATTATTAAACAACAAATTTGAGTTGAGTACAAGTACTATAAACTCAAACACAAAAATAGATAATAGTGTACAGACAAAAGAAATATAACAATTTGACAATCTTAGCACTCATGAAGTAGACATATACAGAATGGGAACAATATGTTAAGCACTGCGGTGTCTATCGTAATTGTTTTTGAAACTGTTGACGGATTCCGAGTTCACTACATAAGATGCATGCATCGAAGACACGGTTTGAGATGAAGCGCTGACGACAGTTGTGTCATTTATTTTAACAGTGAGTAGATCTGATCAAAAGAAATGTTTTTTCCTTTACCATTTTTCTGGTAAAATTAAAGTAACAAAGTTATAGCCCTTTGGAAGTTTGAGTACCGCCCTATCTCAATAATAATATTATGTGCTCGTGTTTGGCAACAACGGATATAATCCGCCTTATCGGTTCATCGCATCGGAAACCAAAAAGCGAAAGAATTTGGAACGATGTTTTTACAATTATTTTATTCAGTTGTATACAGTCAGTGTCAGTCGGTAACGCGTGAGTGAATAGTGGTGTCTGTTGCGTGGCTCAAACGAAATAAAAAATGGCACATGTTTACGAAAATGCTGAACTTGTGGACATGATTCTTATTTACGCGGCATCACGGATTTATGCGGATCGGTTTCCCAATCGAGTGCAACCAACCCCTCGTGCCTTTGATAATGTAGTGCAAAGGGCTCGTAAATCAGGTGACTTAAGACCTCACAGGGGAGGCCGCACGATCAAATACAGGTCCGCACTGAAATACTTGTCGGGGGGATACTTTATAAAACAAGGTAACATTTTTTTTTTATTTTTTTTTTATTTTTACACACATATTTTGGTTTAACTTCCTTCTACAATCATTATCTGAAAATTAATGACTCAACTTCAAAGTCACCCTGTATGTAGATGCGAATTTTGTTCTAATCGGCATGGGTATTACGTGTCTTGGAAAGTGACATTTTGTCGATTTTTTGACATTTCGTAGCGACTTTTGTGACATTAAACCTGAGCGAACAGCGATCATAGCGAGCAAACGAGGAATGAACTATTTGCACACCAAAAACTACCAAGTCTCCAAGATGACATTTTGTCGTTTTTTTTTATGTTGTTTACATAATACCCCTGCAGTCCTATTACTGTCATACAGTGTGTAAACGTTATGGTAGTTATTATTCAAATGGGTAATAGGGAGGTCAAAACAAGTCAAAAAGTTCATATGACCCATGGTCATAGTTTACAACTTTAAGTGCTTTATATCGACCACAATCACCACAACCTTACTTATTTTTATAATCT